CCCCCCCCCCCCCGGCTACATGCCTGTGTAGGGGTGACTGTGCTCTTTGTCCCACCACCCACTCAAGCATAGAGAGGGAGGGCTAACCACTAAACAAACTCCAAAATACACACAGGTGATACCATTAGTAGGGTACAAAAAGGTGCAAAACACGCTATCTTTCTAAACTCATTGGCTCTTCTATCAGGCAAAGTGGGTAGAAAAATCATGCAAGAGAACAAAAGTGATGTTTTTGAAGCCACGAGTATTCAGGTCTGCTTTTTATAGTGGAGTTACAAAACCCAGAAAACAAAGGAGAAGCGGTGAACCAATAGTACAAAGGCTGTGGGAAGCAGACTATAAAAATTCAGTTCTCTTTTGCAGCCATTAAGTCTCACACCTTGAGATTTGTTCTAACCCTCTCCAGAAGGAGCACAGACGTGTTGGCAGAGTTCAGTGATCTCTACAGGAAGACCACATTCTGTCAACTCTGGAGATAAATTAAATTTAAATGTGATAGACAAGCACACCAATAGAATCTAGTTTAGATCATTTTACCTTGTATTTTAAATTTATATACAATGAAACAAGTCCAACAAAGTTAGATTATAATGTTTCTGCTCATGATTAAGTCAGATCTCTTCAAATTAAAAAAAACTGGACTGTAGACAACAAAGTGCACATTGTTTATAGCTTTATTGGATGAAATAGGTAAAAGTAAAGGTTTCCCCTGACATGAAGTCCAGTCGTGTCCGACTCTGGGGTGTGGTGCTCATCTCCATTTCTAAGTCAAAAAGCCGGCGTTTTCTGTAGACACCTCCAAGGTCATGTGGCTGGCATGACTGCATGGAGCGCCATTACCTTCCCTCCAGAGCAGTACCTATCTACTCACATTTGGATGTTTTCGAACTGCTAGCTTGGTAGAAGCTGGGGCTGATAGCTGAAGTTCACACCGCTCCCTGGTTTCGAACCTGCGACCTTTCAGTCAGTAAGCTCAGTAGCTCAGCGCTTTAACCCACTGTGCCACTGGGGGCTCCTATTTCTAGATGAAATAGAAGGCACAAAATAATTATACTACCTTTTGAAGCTTTTCCATTAGACAAAGATGGTAGAAGTAATCACACAGGAGAACAAAGTGACATTGTTGTGCTCACAAATAATCTTATTGTGTAAGAAAGTTTAGATGTTGATTGTAAAGTCAGGTGGGACAGCTTTTTACAGTCAGATTGGATAACAGATAATCTCCATAAAACTGTCTCGGTCATGCAAAATGAGGACACATATCAAATTAAGTAAAGCTTTGTAGGTGAAAAGACATCATACACAAATGGACTCTTAGAACCATCTTTTCTGATGTCTATTTCATTTAGAAAATTTGAGAATAGACCCTTAGTCTAAGTCAGTGGTTCTCAACCTGTGGGTCCCCAGGTGTTTTGGCCCACAACTCCCAGAAATCCCAGCCAGTTTACCAGCTGTTAGGATTTCTGGGAGTTGAAGGCTAAAACATATGGGGACCCACAAGTTGAGAACCACTGGTCTAGGTAATAGTTATACAATTTAGAAAGGGACATGGCAATGTTTTGGCATTCTGAAGTTTTGTCGAAGGCTTTCATGGCTGGAATCACTGGGTTGTTGTAGGTTTTTTGGGCTATATGTCCATGTTCTAGAGGCATTCTCTCCTGATGTCTCGCCTGCATCTATGGCAAGCATCCTCAGAGGTTGTGAGGCCATATAGCCCAAAAAACCCTACAACAACCCATTCTGAAGTTTCTTTTGTAATGAAATGCTCATATAGAAAATAATATGTATATTCAACAAATGATTTTATTTATATAATTTGAGGGAAAACTCACCAAAATTAATATTATTCTATTTACAGATGCAAATCTACTGTTATGATCCTAATCGGTTTGCAGATATTGATAAGGCAATTGAAGGAAATGGAAAATTAAGGGTGTTATCCATTTTATTTGAGGTATTTTTATTTTCATATTGAATCATATTAAGACCAAAATGCAGTCATTTTCATCTTCAAGATAATAGTAGTAGTTGTGCATATATCATTGCTAATGGATTTTGCTGAGTAAATCCACAAAATATTTGTTTTTGTTGGAGTACAAACAAATTAATAAATAATTGAGCTCAATAATGAATTATGTAACATTTTTTTCAACAGGTTGGTCTCGAAGATAATGGGGATTACAATTCAATTATTGATGGAGTGGCCAGTGTTAGTCGTTTTGGTGAGTTTGTGATATAACATGGAAACCATTTCCACAATTATCAATTTGAATACATTAAACCACCAATTATATGAATGCATGAACTCTGAATACAATGTGTTTGAACCGAAAAGGAGACAATATGCTTCAGATCTCATCACCTTTATTTCATAAATAGATCTAGAGGAGAAAGGAAGCAATTGGTAAATAATTTACAAGCCATTTGTGGAAAAACTCTGCTCTCTGTCTGAAGAAAACCCTCTATTGCTAACTCTGACACATGAAGTTGGTTATTCAGCATGCACACCTGATTTCATTGCCTACCCATATTGTAATTGATCTCCTTGGAAACTGATAATTTCACACATGTCACAATTGAGAATGAAATAATCGGTTTCCATTGCTTTGAACTTAAAATGTATATTCTGTTAATCAACACTCTTTCCCTGACTTCTTCTGAAAGAAGTTTTTGGAATACTTGCTTTCTGAATCTAGGACAATCTTACTTAAGTGTATTCCTATTATCCATCCATCACCTAGGCTGAAAAGATAAAATGTTGAATTCAAATAGTTCATATTGTTTAAGTTAAGAAAACCAAGTCTGGAACATGTCATTATTCACTTAATTTCAAAAATGCCTCACCTGACTTACTGGGTACAGTTGTTGTGGCAGCAGACACCCTCCTGCTCGCCATAGCTCCTGGGAGCTTCTTCTTCCCAGGACCCCCCTGTGCCAGGCACGTTTCACTGATGAGCCCCACCCTACCCTCTGATTGGCTGGACAAGGTGCTGCTTGGATCCGCCAGCAGCCTATATATGGGCTGGGCTGATCCCCAGCCAGTGCTTCTTTGGCTGTCCTATTCCACCCACTATTTGTCCTATTCCATACAGTGGCTTAGCAGTTGTGTGACAGTAACAGTGTTCTGGTATTGAGCCGGTTGGTAAACAGCTGCACCCCCTGGCATAATTAAGAGGTATCGGTCATCACTGGGCTGTCTGATTCCTGATGCAGGATTCATTCATGGCAGTCAACCCTGTTTCTCATTTATAACCAAGAAACAAGTTGTGGCCTTTTGTTATCTTTCTCCGGGTTCAGTGGCAGAAGGTGGGTAGTCGCCCCTGCCCATGCAATTGTTAATAAACTAAAAGAAAAAAATGGCTTAGAATTGTGTAAGATTGTATTCTTTGTAGCTTTGCTATATTCACTTTTACTGTACAGACTGAAAAATGGAATGGTTCATTTTGTTGATCTGCATATTCAGACCTGTGGCTAGGCTTTATTGTCCCAACACAAGCCAGGAGAAAAAGGTTAGCTTTAAACTATGGTTTAAGTCAAGACTCTGTGAACTGGCATAATTTTGTCTCTGTGTGGGACAGGATGGAGCAACAGGAAAAGACAAGGAAAGTATTTTCCTTTGTTGTCCAAGGAGAAATTTGCCAGTAACAAACTAGACTATTTCTTCTGTGCCAGGATTCCAGATGGATCTTTGAAGGAAAAGGCCTCCCATGAGAATTGTCTTGGAACAAAAAATTGCCAGGATTTTCTGAAGCAACCTTCCCAGAGTATCTTTAGCTTCAGGGCATTTTTACCTTCAAGGACCCACATAGAAACCAGGAAATTAGAAAGTAGACTGCTCAGAAGCTGGGCTTTCTCTCTAAAAGGAAAAAGAAAGATCTTCCTCTGTCTCCTCTGCCCTCATTTTTTATGCAGCACAACAATGAAAAATAAGCACTATGAATAAGGTGAATGAACCTGTGCAGTATCCCAGCAAGATTCTGGCTAAAAAGTTGACTTGTAAATTTAGACTCCTTTAAAACAAATTAACTATAGTTCTGACTTCAGGCATAAGGGACAGTGTTGTTTGTGGCTTTCCTGTGTTTTTTTTAACCTGCTCATGAAGAGGCAGAACCACAAAAGAATTGAGCAATCTGCATGTATCAGCATGCTGCTCGTGTATGTCATGATTTGATAAGCCAGGAAGCTTGCCATATCATGAAAATGTGGCCAATGTAATCAAGTGGGAAAGAGCTGAATACTCAATATCAAAATATTGATACATTTCATAATCAGAATTATTATAAACGTTGTGGATACAAAGAGATATGGGGAACAGAGGAAGAAGAAACTAAGACAATGGCTACAGTAATGTGATTTATTTACAGAGGTGTGGCTTTGAAATTAAACAGATGGCCAGATCACATTTTATCCTCTTAATGAGAGAACACCTGTACTATACTCCCTCTGCTCTTGTTTTAGCCTTGTTTTTCAACAATCAATAAAAACAGACTAGCTGAAAAATTGTTACCCTGCTATCATGATATAAAGATACCATGTCCTCCTTGTTGCAGTACCACCTAGCTATTCCTTGGCAGTGAGATCAAATATACTGTTTCTCCAGCTGTTCTTCTTGGCAGTGGATATTTTTGCCCGCAGTTATAAGGGGGAGGGCGTGGAGGACAATGGGGTTTTTTTTCTGGGAAAGGAGAAACTAACTGCTGCTGTGAGGAGAAGAGCGTGTGAGCATCAAGCACTTTTACTTAGACAGAAGCCACAGAAATAAGGGCAGGTGGATAAATTTTGTAACTTTATTTCCCTCTTACTAATGATGCATTGTCTAACCACCAGCTACAAGAGCTGAAGGTGATCATAGGCTCAGAGCACCCCTTTAAGAAACTAACTTGTAAGCTATTACTGTTACAATTAAGAGGCTTACTTGTGAATTGAAGAAAAAGTAAACAACACCACTCCACTGTAACTACATCAAGAAGCAGATTAAAGGCCATCCCTCCAAAACCAACCACAACTGCCCTGGCCTTGAAAGGAGAGAAGAGTCAGTCACCGCTCCATCATGACTTGACATAGAAGCCAATGAGAGGAATTTTGCCCTTCTCAACTGCCACTGCCTTGGCCTTTGAAGTGAGGAAGAAAAAGTGGGTACAACTCCATCATGCCTCGGCCCAGGAGCAGATGAAAGATCCCCCATCCATCCCAACTGCCACTGTCTTGGCCTTGGAGGAAGAGAAAATTGCCAAGCACATCACCATTATGCCTAAGCCCAGAAACATACTGCCACTGCCATGTCATGAAGGGAAAGAAGAAGAGGCAAGCATGGCTAAACCATTTTTAAGCGCAGAAGTGGATGCCCCCCCCCCTCCGCATTCCTACTGCCATTGCGTAAATCTCAGAGGGGGAGAACAATAGGAAGACGGAGCTCCATCGATCCTAAATGTAGAAGCAGATAAAAGGCCTGTCCTCTATCTCAACTACTACTGGGAAAAACCACCAGTATCTGCTGGCCCTACTCAACTTCCCAAGTGCCTTCTTCTTCTGCTCCATGTCATATTTAGAATGTAAGCCTGAGATCAGGGAACCATGTAATTAACAATCTGTATGATACTCTGAGAGCCTTTGTGTCTTACGACCAGGGCATAAATATCCTAAATAAATCAATACAGTTTGTATGTGCCACAATGTGTAGTGACATAAATAATAAGAAAGATTGTATCCAACATTATTCATGTCAGGGATGTGGTATATCTGCTCCAGTTTTTAGCTTAATTTTAAAAGAAATGGCCTCAAAATAAGATCAGCACCTTGGATAGCTCTTTTAAAATTCATATTAAAACTAAGAGCATATTTAGGTAGTTTGTTTCCAAAAGGTATCATTTTTTAAAAAAATGAAAAAAGAAATTATAGATAACAGCACATTGTTGGCTAAGAGTAGAATATTATGTGTATACAGAATATTTCTGTATAGGACTTGGAAAATTGCATTTTATAGGAAAATAAAGCATATCCTCCGCGTGTTTTTTTTTATTCCTGTAAAATTTGTTCAGGTGAATTTGATACCTTTTGGAAACAAGTTCCACATTTATCATTCTATTTATAACAAAGCCTTCTGCTGTCATTATCCAACATGTAAATTTTTACAGATCCATAATTATTTTAAGTATGAAGTTGATTTTACAGAATATGCAAATTTATCATAAAAAGTTCATGTGAATTAGACTAGATACAGAAAACAGAAAAAAGTTGCAACTATCTTATATTTACATTCAAAAGCTTATGTGTATGTGTATATGTATATGGATATAAATAAATTAAATGGGAACAATTATTTTATTAAACTTAACATGTTGTTGATGTTACAATATTTATCTGTATCCTTCTCCCCTCCCCCAAAAATTGGACTGGAAGTGGTTCACAATTTTAAAAAAATACAAGTTAATAAACATACATTAAAATAGTGAACATTAAAACAGAAATAAGATATTCACAGTATTTAATCAATTCAAACCTCAAATTAAAAGAATAAAACGGAATTAAAAAGATATACGACTATTAAAACCATTCATTTAAAACAATGCAGCACCTTCTATCCTATCCTGTATAAATGGGGAGTCTAGGGGCAGCCACCAAGCAGGCCAATGCAGAAACCTTGTCCTTTATGTTCAAGGCTAAATCCAGCATATACCCAAATTGTGTTCCTCTCCATAGGACGTGTAATCTCTTCTATTCCCTATCTGCCTTTCAAATGATTTGAAACACCTCTGTCTTGTCTGGATTAAGATTCAATTTGTTTGCTCTCATCCAGTCCATTGTCAATCACAAGCACTTGCTGGAATGTATGTTATACCAATGCACTGAAAACCAAACCAGAAAAAAAAACAACAAAAAAGTTATGCTAAGTGGCTTTCAACACAACTTTAAGAGCTCTTTATTTCAAGCTGTTGTTATTGATATGGGTTTTTGAAAACGGTTGTTATTTTAATATTATGGGTTTTGTTAGTTTAGATTGTAGTTCCATCAAGGGAAGACAGATTGCTTACTGTTGATGTAGGTTTTTGTGTTATCAATTTATTTATTTATTTATTTATTTATTTATTATTTACTGCACCTGTAGACCGCCGTTCTCAGCCCTGGGGCGACTCACGGCGGTGTACAACATATAAAAAAAAAACAATTTACAGTAAGGCAATTACACAAACAACAATAACAACATCACTATTAATAATACAATTACACTAAATCATTCGCGGCGTCTCATCATAGAATCACAATCCAATCTCGTTTTCCATATTCCGTTCCAATCATCATTGCCAATTGTTGTAGCACTTAGTCAAACGCCTTCTCAAACAACCACGTCTTTAGTCTCTTGCGGAATGTCATAAGGGAGGGCGCCTGTCTGATGTCTACAGGGAGGGTGTTCCATAGCCGGGGGGCCACCACCGAGAAGGCCCTATCCCTCGTCCCCGCCAGGCGTGCCTGTGAGGCAGGCGGGATCGAGAGAAGGGCCTCCCCAGACGATCTCAAAGCCCTCGTGGGCTCATAGGCCGAGATGCGGTCAGACAGGTATTTTGGGCCGGAACCGTTTAGGGCTTTGTAGGCTAGCACCAGCATCTTGAATTGGGCCCGGTAGCAGATCGGCAGCCAATGGAGCTGGAACAACAAGGGGGTTGTGTGCTCCCTGCGTCCCACTCCTGTTAGTAACATGGCTGCCGCGCGCTGGACTAGCTGGAGCTTCCAGGCCGTCTTCAAGGGCAGCCCCACGTAGAGAGCATTGCAGTAGTCAAGGCGGGATGTGACCAGAGCGTGTACTACCGTGGCCAAGTCAGACTTCCCGAGGTACGGGCGCAGCTGGCGCACGAGCCTGAGCTGTGCAAATGCTCCCCTGGTCACCGCTGAAACCCCATCCCCATCCAGCACAGGCTGTAACCCTATACCCTGTTCGGCCTTGCGACTGACCAGGAGTACCTCTGTCTTGTTGTGACCAGAGCGTGTACTACCGTGGCCAAGTCAGACTTCCCGAGGTACGGGCGCAGCTGGCGCACGAGCCTTAGCTGTGCAAATGCTTCCCTGGTCACCGCTGAAACCTGGGGATCCAGGCTCAACGATGAATCCAGAATCACACCCAAGCTGTGAACCTGCACCTTCAAGGGGAGTGCGACCCCATCCAGCACAGGCTGTAACCCTATACCCTGTTCGGCCTTGCGACTGACCAGGAGTACCTCTGTCTTGTCTGGATTTAATTTCAATTTGTTCGCCCTCATCCAGACCATTACAGCGGCCAGGCACCGGTTCAGGACCTCGACAGCCTCCTTAGTAGCAGGTGGAAAGGAGTGACAGAGTTGGAGTGGAAAGGAGTGACTTTTCTGCCATCTGATGAGGGGAAGGAAAGGGTGCCAGTGCATCCTCTCTGTGACGATGTGTAACTTTTATTCTCATGTTTATGTGTTGTTTAGACAGTGGTTGATAAATGGTAGGTATGAAGGAATATATTTTGTTGGAGATGGTGGCTTGGCATTAGCTGGGTTGCCATAGCAACAGGGGCGGAGCCAACTGCCTCTTCACAGGGCAGCTGTTTTGAAAAATCAGTCAGTAAGCCGGTGTGCTATAGGGAAGACTGAATCTCTGGGTGGAGATTCAGGGAATTAATTGATGACCAAAAGGGTTACAGAAAAGGACCCAGTAGTGATAGAACTACAGGGGGTTATTGATTCTGAGTTGAGAATCAAGGTTTGGCTGGGAGCCAATTCTGTTAATAAGCCTTTTAGCTTATTTGTTTTATTGGGACAGTTGTCCAGAAGAGTTACATCTGCTTATAGAAACCTCTTGAAGTCTGTGCCTGAGATTACTCATGAAACCTTATTAATGTAACCAGTCAAGATTTGTGCCTCTTGTGAAGAAACAGTTAAACATGTTATACTCCTGTTTAAAATAAACTTGTTACTGTTTTCCTTAAGCCTTGCCTGATACAGTTTCTCTCAAGGCAATCAGCCTACATAAGAAGTAAGGTCAAGCCAGGGACAGTGGGCGCTACGCTATCAAATGAATAAAGCCTTCTGTAACTAATAGTCCCTTTATAAAATAACTCCTAAGCTGATATTGATCGTTTTCCAGCTTTCCTCACACATTAGGTGGCAGTAAGCTTTTAACCACACTTCTTCACAAATTGGTGGCATTCGGTGACATTAAAACAGTCTTCTTTACACTCTCCCACCCCTTCATGTAATGAGGGAAGGAGGGAGGACGCGTGGGGCACCACAAGCTGCCCCATTTGCCTTCCTTTTCGCTGGCAATTGCTAGCACAATGACACAACCCAAAAGGGCCATGAGAAGAGATCCTTTATTTGCAGGTGGGAAGAACTTGCATCAGTAATCCCTGCTCTAAACTAATATAATGCCTTGTACAAGGAACCATCTTTTGGGGATGTCCCAAACATTTCAGAAAAAGTTCTAAATAGTAGACTTGCATGGCCCTTTTTCTCTAGTCATTGGCTTCCAATTTATTTCCAAACTATTTCAAAATTCTGTCATTTTACCTACAAAAGGTCTATGCAACTTTGGACTTTGAAATCTGGTGAAAAGTATTGCATACCAGGCATGGGCAATCTTCATCTCTCCAGGTCAGCTTACCGGCTGTCAGGCATGTAGCGGGGGGGGGGGGG